TTTGCTCCAACTGTAGCCCCCTTCTCTTCTTTACTTTCCTTAATCACTATATCCAGCAGCCAGATGTAGTAAAAACTTTCTAGCTCTTTCTAGGGAAATTCTTTGAAATACTCGGCTGCTCTCCCGAGTTAAAAGCATTTTGGGGAACTATCGAGACCTACCTGATCTCGGATCTCCTGATATGCTCATTGACTAGGCGGGAGCCCTGGGCTCAAATATCTCCGAGCTCAGGGTTCTCTCCCAGGACAGAATGTCAAACCTGCTATAAATGCCAAGTATATCTAAGTGGGAACTCTTTAAGTGAAGTTTCATAAACTAATTTCGAGAGGAGCATGTGATATGATTGAGCACTGCTGGCCACTCATCCGTAATCAGTAATAATCTAACCAGATCCTAGCTTAATATAAATGGATATAGATAACTTTCTCCTTACTGCTCTATCTTCGTTTTGGAAGAATCCCCCCTTCCACCCCATCTCCTCCTTTTTCTCCCCTTTTTAAAGGGGGAGCTATTGAGACCTACCTGATCTGGGATCCTCTGATAAGCTTATTGACCGTGCGGGAGCCCTGGGCTCAAATATCTCCAAGCTCAGGGTTCTCTCCCGGGACAGCATGCCAAACCTGCTATAAATGCCAAGCATATCTAAGTGGGAACTCTTGAAAGAACTAGTTTATGACTTTTTTCTTGGGCTTGTGCAATTGTATTTAAAAAATGTACTTTCTTCATTTTAAAATTAGTTGTTATGCCACATATTTTTTATAACAAAGAATATAGTAGAGCAAAGCAGTGGCGCAGTAGTTAGTGCTGTCGCCTCATAGCAAGAAAGTCGGTGGTTCGACCCTCGGCTCAGTTGGCGTTTCTGTGTGGAGTTTGCATGTTCTCCCTGCTTTTCCGGTTTCCCTCACAGTCCAAAGACATGTGGGATGTGGGTGAATTGGGTAGGCAAAATTGTCCATAGTGTGTGAATGTATGTGTGGATGTTTCCCAGAGATGGGTAGAGGCTAGAAGGGCATCCGCTGCGTAAAAAAGTTAGCAGTTCATTCCGCTGTGGCGACCCCAAATTAATTAAGGGACTAAGCCGACAAGAAAATTAATGAAAAGAATAAAGTACTCTGTTTCTGTAAATCTTACATTACTTTTCCAGTGGTTCAGTAATTTTTTTAGTAATTACACCTCTCGCACTATTTTTCTCTTTGTAGTGTTAGCAAGTTTCATAAATCTATCTTACTATGACACTGTAACTGTGATTTCCAGTGTTCCAACATGTTCGTAGTTCCAATTAAATCTTAAAGGGGTGGTCCAGAATGTAATTTTAAGGCTTGGTTGTGTTTATAAGATGCAAAGCAATGTGCGCCCATGTTTCACTTGAACAAAATCTCGTTATTTTTTCATAAACCTCACTTTGTTTATTTACAGCTAATCAGCTAACATGAAAACGACTGATATTTTTCCTAGTTCCTCTGAAAAGCCCGCCCTCAAGTGACTCTGGAACGGCTCTACATCACGCCTGTACAAGCATGCGCGTTTTGTGTAAACAGTCAGTCAACCTCATGCCCGCTCTCTAAAATGACAAGTGTCTGTAACGAGTGAAAATGTGCCGCAGCTACTTTAAAAGAGTTTGCCATTGTGTGTCTGTCTACGTGTGTGCATATGTATAAACTGTCCGTAGATGGGGCGTGTAACACAAAAAGCAAATGTGCGTGGGACTGATGTTTATTTTTATTTTTCTATGACGCTCGGATTAAGATATTGTTCTGTAATATACAGTGATGCTGTAGACAGAAGATTAAAGCACAAGATGTGGGATGCGACCTGTGTGAGCCTTGATTGATTTTTCTGCTGCTACATGAGTTAGGCGAGCTCTCCTGTATTTTTTAATTCAACGCGTTGCACGACGTCTTTCACATATATTTAGAATATGCATGTGTAAGTAATATGAATTGTCCACATATGTTTTGCGACTTCATTATCTGAGATGTAAAACGCACAGAGAAGCAGCCTATAGAGAAACACTGCACAGTCACACACACATAAAGAGATACTGCACGTGCTGGTGAAGTGTGTGTTTACAGCAGTTTGACTGATAAATATGAGTTTGTAGCCTAATCATTAGCGGTGCCAAACATCTTTTCCTATTGTTTACATCTTTGCTACAACATACGATTAAGGCTAGACCAGGGGTGGGCAAACTCGGTCCTGGAGGGCCGGTGTCCTGCACAGTTTAGCTCCTACTCTAATCAAACACACCTGCTTATAGATTCTAGTGATCTTGAAGAAACTGATTAGCTTGTTCAGGTGTGTTTGACTAGTGTTGGAACAAAACTCTGCAGGGACACCGGCCCTCGAAGATCAAGTTTGCCCATCCCTGGGCTACAGGGCCGGAGTGGGACTCCTTTTCAGCCCTGGAGTTTCAAGCCTTAGACCGGCCCACCTCAGTTCACGACTGACTATATTAAAATAAGGCAATTTCCAAATCAGTTTCTAATGACACTATCACGTCTTTTTTTGAGAAAACAACTGCTTTAGAACTTCAAATGTTCAACAACCCTAACAGTATTATATGTCTTAACAATAAAAATGAAAAAAATAAAAAATAAATTACTCAGACGAGGATCGAACCCGGGTCTGCGGGGTCAAAAACTAACTACTAACCACTGAACCACAACAGCTGATCAGTAAGTTGACAAAGTTATATCGTCATTAACCTGCAGGCTGCAACTTGCTCACTGAGCTGCGAGAAAATAGATAAAAAGAGTAGAGCTGCGGTAAAATAATGAATAAAACGGCTGTGGTCAAATAAATAACTTAGATAAATAAATTTAAAAAGTGTGACTGCTGAGAGCAACCGATTCTGGAGCTAGGAATACTGGCCCTCGCGGCCAAAAACCGGACCGGCCCACCGGGAATTCTCCCGGTCCTCCCGATTAACCAATCCGGGCCTGCTGGGCTAGACACTGTGCATGTCATTATCAATTTTAACAAATAAAAACACTTACAGGTTGTGGCTCAGAGTTCACAGCTTCTGCTTGTTGGAGCTGCTCCTTCTTTGAGGAGATTTTAACCGAATCCAGCACTGAACTGGGAGAGATTCTGGAAGCCAGACAAATGGTTTTGTCAAATCATGCTTGCTGTGTATTTCATAAATCTCTGGAACATAATTAATATTGAACTGTAAGCACGTCTGTCTTTGTGTCGAGTCCGTTGGAAGCCCAAATACAGAACTCTGCAGTAACATTTACAGCGCCTCTGGCCGTGTCCCTTTGCTGCGCAGTGTGTGTGCGCCATAAAAATACGTTTGTGATCTCACAAGCCCTGGTATTTTTTCAAGGGATTTTATCAAAGTATTTTTTTTATAGTCCCCAAATTCACTCATTGTAGGCTTTGCTAAGCTAACTCTGTAAAAACCAAGGTCTCCCTTTGCATTCAACTTTGAGCTTTTAACATTCAGAGATGCTGTTTATGTTCACACAGCTACAGTACATTACACATCAGCTAAAGTTTCAAATATGATACCGCAGTGGACCAACCCTTTAAAGTGTCCAGTTCATTCTTTTCTTAAGGCCTGGTTTTTGATAAACAGAAGTCACTCCACTAGTTTAATGACAATTTTACAGACCTTTTACTATTTACAGACAGGAGATCCAAAGGTTTTACACAGCAGAAACAATACAAACATATAGTTACTGATAATATAGCAGTGTAAATCACCATGTATTTACTAATGGCTTAACTTGTGAATTGTTTTATTTCTCTTCTGGTTTGGCTGTGACATTAGTAAATTCTGAGTCTAACCATGCATATGAGTGACTTTTTACACTACCACACACTACTCTCCTGCACTCACTCACAACCACCATGCTACTGCTAAAGGGCTTTGTACCCAGCCCAACTGTGTGAATAACTGAGCTGATCTTTTCACAGAAGTTAGACTTCAGGGCCACAACTAAATTTACCATTACCTCGCTGGGTACTTTAAGGCCCTTCTCTCCTAAGTTGAGGTCAGTGTATTGTTTGTCCTTGAAAAATGTGTATTGTGAATCATCAGGTTTCCCTTTGGCTGAGATGTTACACTCTTTGCAGGGACCGTTTTCACTGTTTGCAACTTTCTGTAAAACTTTACTGGTCATGTATCCAGCTATGAAAAGTAGTACATTGCAATCATGGTCAAATGCAGATATTGCTGAAATTGGGGGCCTCATCTCACTCAACAGGTCCAAGGACACGTGTTGGTGGGACACCCTCAAGGATGTTTACATCACAATTCTGCACGGCACTCTTGTGGAATAACAAAATATACTCAAATATGATTGTAATGAGACTATGTCTGGGCACTACAAGTCCCAGCAGGCTTAGCGCCATGCAAGGAAGTGTTGTTGTTTATGTGCAGACACTTTATTTCCTGATTGCGGCGTAAATTAACAACAGGTTGTAGATTGCTCAGCGCTATATAAGCGAGTCAAAAGCTGCGTCCCAAATCGCATACTTATGCACTATTCTACACCATTTTGTAGTATAAATAGTGTAAGTAGTGTGTTCACACTGAAAACTCTTAAAATAATAAGTGCACTTTAATTACCCGGATGATGCACTCATTCAGCCGCTAAAATGAAGTGTGTATTGATGGACACTTCACGCACTCAACGACCGCAGGTTTGCTTACGTAGCGGAAGGGGCGGAGCTATCGGACGCACATGTTGAATAACTTTATTTATTTTGGATGGAGAAAGCAAAATTCTCCTACGAGAGTGATTATATCGCCTCCCGATGGTGAATGCGGCAATACTCACGATAGGTATTATTTGATAATTCGGTCGTTTATTTCACTAATTTGGCAACTGTCAAACGTCATCAGGGAAACGGTTTGAATTTCCCTTTAGTAAAAAAACATTAGTGTGCCATTTGGGACAAGACTACATACATGTACTATCCTGTTGAGTGTGTAAGTGCATGAGTGCATAGTGTATAGTGTGCCATTTGGGACGCAGCTTAAGTTTGTTTTCCATTTTGCTGTCGTTGTTGCATTCTGGTCGCGGCACGTAAAGGCCGGTAGGTAGTAAGTTTATTTGTGTGATGTGCGGTCTCTCTCTTTCTTGCGGAGTTTCCTTTTTTAACGCGTGCATAAACTGACATTTATAGAGTCAACACTTCACGTGAGGGGTAGCTGATGAGGAAACAACATTTAATGCTGCCAGATCTTCATTGCGAACTTATTTAAAGAGGTAGTTGTTTTATAATTTTAATAAACCGTTTTTAGTATTGTGTTTTAATGATATTATCCTTTTTATTTCTAGTGCTATTACGGTATCATTGTCTGCTGATTGTTGCCTGAGTGTCAGCATGGGAAATTAAGGATCTTAGAGGTATTGTTTAAAACAAAGAAGGGTTTTTATCCCTCTTAATGCGTGTTTTATTTATAGGATGTTTTATTGTGTTTGATTTTTATATTCTGAGTTTCTGTGTTGTAATAAACTGTGTTTCCCCTTTTTACGGATGCACGGTTGCCGTTTACTTTAGACTTACAATAATATTTTTGTTATTGAATCTTTGTTGTTGACTTTTGTTGTATGCGAATTTGGGTTGTTTATAATGTTGCTAGGTTGACAACAATTTGTATTTTCCTTTGTTAAACTTTTCTTTCTTTTGTAGGTTCTGTTTTGGATTTGCTTTACAATCAGTGGCCACTGGGTTCCCTGCACTGTGTGGATGGCGGTGGAGAAAAGGTGGTTGGGATTGTGTGGTGATTTGGTCACTGTTGATTTTTGTGTTTTTTAGGTTGCAGTGTGATTGCTGTGAGCTGAGTGTGGTGAGAACACTGCTACTTGGGTACCTCATCTGTCCTCACTTTCTGGGTAACCGGTGGCCATTAGTGGTTTGTTTTTTTTCTTTTCTTTTATTTAGTTTATTTACTTTTTTTTCCTCCTTATTTGCAATAAAGATGGAGACAATTTGTATATTACAACTTGTGAAATAAAATATAATTGTCCTCCTAATTGTAAGTCACTTCATTTACCCTCTGCTAAATCATTAACACTGACAAAAGTCATCTGGTCACATTAATATAAGGATTACATAATAAGTCTCAGATAAAATTAGACATCATGACAATAAAATAAATGTAGGCTTATTTACAGATGGTAGAATTTTATACAATTCTCCACTCTAAGTTTTTCCTTGTTTCAGTTATTAATGACTCCATGTTAATAGTTGCAATTTATAAATATTCATTTCAAGCAAAGTGTGGTATTTAGAAATTGTACTTATATTAAGAAATGTGTGTAAATCTATGTAAACAAATGAGCACCCTCGCTCAGAGAACCTGCACACTCTTAAATCCCCTGGGCCCGGTTTTTCAAAATGGTTGATATGGATTAAATAAATTCAGATTTAGTAATCCTTTTTATGTGATCCGTGATCATGTAATCCAGCTTAGTTTTTGAGGCAGTTTTTCAAAGCATCATCAGATTGGATCAATTAGATCTGCATAGGAACTTTTAGGATCATCTAAATAACCGATAATAATAATAATCGATCTGGATAAAAAGTGCTGAAACAGGATAGGAAATCACAATGTAGAACTATAAATGAATTGTCATGTTAGTAAAGATTCAAGATGCGGGCGCAGCAAGGTTGCAGGAAAAAATGGGAGCACTAGCATTTACAACAAGGGAATGACAACCGATGCGGGACAGAATTTTTGTTGTCTTAGAGATAATTTATATTGATTACATATTATATTTATTATTTACATAATGCTTAATTTCATAATTACATAATTATTATAACAGCTTGTCACCCAAGTTCGTTGGCAAAATTATTGTTAAAGTGAGCAGCGTTTGTCTGACAGGTCCATTTGCAATAGCACCCTCCCAATGGATATTGAATAAGACGAAATGGCCAAGCATCCAGCGCGAAATACATCTCTCATTGAAACTTAAACAAGAGAGAAATTTTTTTTATTAGAATATGCAAAAAGGTACATAAATTGGGATCATACAAAAAAAAAAACATCAACAAAAAAACATACACAAAACAACAATAAAAAACAAAACAAAAACAATATAGTCAGGTACTGTTAGGTGTGTGTGTGTGTCCATGTAAAGGTAATTGGTGGAAAGGTCAGATTACATACATTAGGAACAATATTAGCCAATAAATGAATCAAGTATTGCAGATATAACTGAAACAGATAGAAAGAAACCAGTCAGAGTTAGGGAGTAATAAATATGCTTAGTAATGTATGATAGTAATAATGACAGTAAAAAGAAAGAAAGGACAACAGTAGAAGTAAATGACAATGACAATAAATCACAAGTACTACCCTAACTACTACTACTACAGAAAGTTACTTATATTACTATATAGTTATTAACTACTATTGCTGCTACTACAGTCACAACTATTACTACTATAATGTCTACTACTGCTGATACTACCACAACAATGACTACCACTACTGATACTACAGCGTCTGCTACAACTAATACAATGTCTACTACTACTACTGCAATCACTGCTACTACAACATCTACATCAACGACATCTACTACTGGTACTACTACACCAACAACGATTACTACTGCTACAACGACACTTTTACTACTTCAGCTACCACTATACCAACGACATCAACTACTACAGGAACTACTACTTCAATAAATCACAATTACAATCGATACTACTACAATGACTACTACCACAACACCAACAACGACTACTACTACTACTGCTACAACGACACTTTTACTACTTCTGCTACCACTATACCAACGACATCAACTACTACAGGAACTAATACTTCAATAAATCACAATTACAATTGATACTACTACAATGACTACTACCACAACACCAACAACGACTACTACTACTACTGCTACAACGACACCTTTATTACTTCTGCTACCACTATACCAACTTCATCAACTACTACAGGAACTAATACTTCAATAATCACAATTTCGATCGATACTACTACAATGACTACTACTACTACTACTGCTACAACGACACCTTTACTACTTCTGCTACCATTATACCAACGACATCAACTACTACAGGAACTACTACTTCAAAATACAATTAAAATCGATACTACTACAATGACTACTGCTACAACTACTACTACTACTACTACAACAACAACAACAACCACTACTGCAACCTTAATAATGATAATCGTATTAATACTTATATTAATGATAATGAATGAATGATAATTTCATTATCAGAAGTTACAGTCTTTGAATGCCAACAATTGTGTTCTGTGTGGTCATGTGCAAGAAATAATGTTCCATGATCACCAGAACTATGTAGTGCTAAAAACCGAGGTTCTGCCTAGCCAAGGACAAGGAAAAGAAGACTGCGCTATACAAGGCCTGGGTAATCATGAACAAGCAAAACAACTACATTCTGACAGTGAACTGCACCTGTACGGCAGGGTATGTGAACTTACATTTTTACATCATAAACGAGTAATGTGTATGATTCAGCATAGCGTGAACTTACCTGAAATGAACTGCAGAGTCCAGACTTTTTAATTAGGTCATCACTTCATTTAGCTCCCTTTTAGCCAAAGACGTCTGCGGTTGGCATTAAAATCAGTGTGGTGTACGGTAAAAGTTAACCCTTTGTGTGGTGTTAATATTTTTGTTATTCAGCCAGTGTTCATGGGGCTGATGGACCCACTAGTGTTTTGGCTTTCCAAATTAACACTATCAAACAATTTTATGTTAAATTACTCAACAAATGTTTACTTAATCCCAATTACAAGCCATATGCACAGCAAAGATGTTAATTTTTTCCCTTTACCTTTGATAGATCATATTGATGAATTAATGTGCTTCTTGTTTTTTTTATTAAAGGTTCCTGACACCCTGGAGAACTTTTTTTTAATATTAACAGATTTGTGTGTGTTGAGCATCAGTTAAGATAATGTTAGCACCTGTCAGCTTTAATTGTGGGGAAAACTGGATAATTTTGAGCTTTTGTCAGCTAATTTCAGCTTCCGGGTTTAAAATGATTTTTGGGGCGGGATCAAAATCGGCGACGTAGCGCAGAACTGCAAGTGCAATGATGACGCGTCGGTTTCTCATTATTATTCATAGCAGAGTTTTCTTATCCTATGAGAAGAGCCGGCTGCTTAATTATTCATCAGACCTGCCAGACTTGTCAGAGTCAAGCCCGAGCTGTGAGACACAGACCGACAGTTTATGAAGGCTCATGTGTGTTTGTTTCCATGATCCACGGGGTTTGTTGATTGTTTTCCCCCGCGATCTTGTCAGGGCCGATCATACAGCAAAGCGGTGTGTGTGTTGAAAAAAAATAAAACCCACAGATTTGTTTTTTCGTATTGTTCCCACTGTGGTCAGCTTTCTCTTTAGAAGCTTCTGTTCTAGCTTGTGTGAGGTAAAAAAAAAAATAGTCACATGTGATATTGTGTCCACTGAGTCCCTGAGTTAGGTCCAGGACAACTCTCATCCCTTGAATTTTCTCAGGGTCCATCAGGTTTCCCTGTGTAGACTTGTAAGTTCCAAGCATATTAGGAAGTGGTATCATAGTCAGCCCAGATCTTTAAAGCATATTTTGCAGGTTTGGATGGTATATACTGCCTAAAAGGGCAATGGTATTAGCTGCTTATCAATGGTGACATTAGGCCCAGGCTTCTAAAATTTCTTGGGCAAGAAGACCATTCAATTTCACCCTTTTTTGACATCCATATTTCTTCACTTGCTGTCTGGTGGGCTTGTTCTGGTCCTGGACTTGGCTGCTGACAAGCTGGTAATGGAGCTGGCTGCTGATGGGGTACCCGTCTTTTTGTTACTAAATGGTGCTCAACCTCATCCTCTTCTTCAAAGTCCCATCAGACACTGAATTTTCAGAAATGTGATCCTCAAATTCTGAAACCTCTTCCTCAACATCATCATCAGAACCTCTTCTCTCTTCCACAATCAACTGCAAGGCCCTCGCAGCACATAGTCCTTTGGCCATCTGGATCAGTTGTGATAAGAGTGGCAAAGTCTTATTTATAGTACTGTTCCCCTAATTTGCAGATGGGACAGGGTATGACAAAATAAAGCTTGGTTCCCGCAAGAGAGAGGGTAAAATGTGCGGGAATGTAAAGCCGCCTTTCCACTGCAAACGGCATTCGGACACGACTGTCGGAATACGCCTCCTTGTGGCAGTCGCACATCATTTTCAGTATTGTTGTGCACCATGGGAGAGAGGTTAATTTTAGCGGTTTTTGAAAACCCAATTCTTTATGACACTACATTAGAGTCATGTAGGAACATGAACTGAAAAAAT